CTCAGTGGTTAAGAGCCATGTATGTGCTCTATGAGCATCTGTCTGGATCCCAGCATGTGTAAAAAGCCAGCACAACTGTATGTCTTATGACTCCATCCACTGCAAAGCAGAAATGGGAAGATGATGGGAGCTTGTTTGGTGTAGGAAATCCTACAGCCAGTGGCCTTTAAGTAATCGCCCACTTGGGTGTGGCCTCTTATACTATTTATGCCAATGTAAAACATGCGTCCAGCCTCTTTTCCGGCTGCGGGTTTCGGTTGCTGTTCTCCATTCCAGCAGAGGACTCTGATTTGTGAGTCTACCCCTAAATAAATAACCATCTATTATTCTCAATTCTGAGCTAGTGTAGTACTTCCATAACCTAATCCTCCCCAAACAGTACCAAGCATGCAAATACCTGAGATTATGGGGGCCATTTCACTTGGTGATGGAGTACTTACTAGCATATCCAAGGCTGTGAATTTGATACACAGCACTACATACATATGACACATACCTGGGGATAGTGACATACAGCCTTTATTCCAGGACTTAAGAGGGCAGAGGGAGGTAGACCCCAAATTGGATGTTAACCTAGTCTATAAGTACGGCAACCAGTTGTGTCTCAAATAAATGAATAAAAAGTTAATTTTTGCACCGAAGAAGTCTGGACAGTTGATAGAGACTAACAATGTCAGGACTCGATGTGCACTCCTGCAGTTCTTCTGGCCTTCCTTTGTCAGTGTCCACAGGAGTCCCACCCTCTGAGAAGAGCAGAGGCCTGTGTGAGAGCATTAGTTGGTGCTATCACTGCCTTTCCCCTATGTCTCACTGATCTAGTTTTCTAGGTCACAGAATGAATAACAGTAGCTGAAAAGGAGTTTAGCGAAGCAAGTGTTCTACAGCTTAATGCCTACCAGGTTGCCAGTCAAGGTCTGTCTGCAACAGCATTTCAGTTCAGTCTTGGTCTTTGATGTAAGCAATGCAGTTATCCCACTTTAGAACGATGGTGGCTGAGGCACTGGCAGAATCGAAACTCAGGTTTTTCATCTCTTGTCTCAAAATGGGTTATGAGCCAGGCACACACCTCTAATCCCATCACTCCATAGGCAGAAGATCTGTGAGTATGATGCTAGTCTGGTTTACTTAGTTCCAGGGCAGCCAAAAGAACCCAAAACCAAACAAACCACCACCATCACCAAATAATTTAACACAGGTAAAATGAGCCAGTGGTACCAGATTAGAGAATAAAGCATTTACAATTTTTACAGTAATCATATTCAGTCCCTCCACTCCTCCCAGATCAGTCCCAACCCTAAAACTGATTTTTTTTCAACCCCATAAAATCATGTTCTCTCATCCTAACTTCCCTCAGCTTTACTGATCTATACTGAATCCTTCATTCCAGGGTAATTAATCCACACTTTCATGAGACTTACTTGGTTAATGTGCAAACTATACAATGCACTGGGTGCAATTGTGTCAGTGTGTCCCTTCACTGCATTCATGTTCAAGTCCTTACCCATGTGAGAGTATCTGATGATGGAGCCTTTGGGGTTCTTGTGAGCTTTCAGTAGTGGTCTTGAAACAGGGATGGAGAGTGCTTGCTTAGAACATGCAAGCACAGGACCAAAGCTGGTACAGGTTTCTCTTCCTGACTTTTGGCCCTCTTCCCTAACTTCTGGGTGTGTGGTGAGGCAGTCTGTCACATCAGAAGCACAAAGCAAGCTGCTTACTTCATGGCCCAAGAAACGAGAAGGCTCACAACCCTTGAGGGTATGCTTCCTGGTAAAATGAGACCTTCCTTCAGACACCCCTAGTGCAATTGGCAAGAGCAAGTTGTCAACATATGGGCCTTTGGGGGTATATTTCAGATCCAAGTCATAGCAGGAAGTCATTCTGTTTGGATGAGGTCATAAGGGCGGAGCCCTCATAATGGGAGTGGTTCCTCTCTGCCTTGTTGACACAGCACGAAGGCAAGGCATATTGATCTCAAGGCCCTGGGCCTATACCACGATGTAATTAATAGCAACCCATAGTCATCTTCCCCTCCAGCTACTGTCCTTATTCCACCTCGCTGTTCAAGGCTGTTTATTTTCAACACATTTGCTACTTTGTTTTTAACTCAGCAAAGCATGAGCCCTCTTGCCCTTAAAGGGCTTACCTCCTACCAGAGATAGACAGGAAATAAAGCAGAGCAGGAACCCCAGCAACCAGGAGAGCACAGCAAGAGGGTGCTACTTTTAAGCCTGTCAGTATGGGATGAACTTCTAAACCACAGGCCTTAAGAAGAACCAAGGGAGAAAGTCACTTAGTTATCTGCAGGAACTATTACAGCCAAGAGGAAATGGTATGAAAGCTTTGTGATGCACATGGTGCCTAGCACGTTCCAGGAAAAGGAAACTGGAACAAACTGGACACAGAACTGATGTACATTAAGGCTCCTGCAAAGGGAGATTAAGTCTCTAGACACTTCTTGTTTGTGGACTTTCGCCTAGACGGGGGCCTCTAACTCACAAGAGGTCCTTCTGCCTCTGCCTTTCTGGGTGTATGACCACACCCTGCTACGCCCACTATCCGCAGTGGGAAGCTTGCAGCAGAGAGCTCACCAGATGAACAGCAGTGGTGTAGGCCTGAAAGTCCACAGAACTCAGTCATTGGATACAGGGGTTGAGTGCAGTAAAGGATGACTAGGGCCTCTGGAGGATAGTGAAGAGGTTTTAAGGTAAATGGCTCCCATGGACCCAATACTTGAGTTTTCAGTTGGTTTGCTTGGAAAATCATGTGTAGTCTTTCTAAAGAAAGTTACGTCGCTGGGCTTTGATGTTTCCAAAGTCTTGCAGCCATGTTGAGTTTGTGATCAGCCTTGTGGATTAAGATATGAGCTTTCAAAGGGTGTGGTGGCATTTGCTTTCAGTCCTAACACAATGCCTTTGCTGGCTGGCTACCATGGACTCTGATACCACTATAAACACAACCCTTTTAACCTTTTTTCCTCTTAAAAACAAGGTATCTGTTCATGGTTTTGTCACAGCAATAAGATACTCCCTGACAACAGATGAGAGGCTCCAGGAAGTTGACTGTGCATCCACCATGGCAGCCCCAATCCTCCAGCAGTTGCAGTCGCCATGGATGGCCAGGACTGCTCTCACCAGACGCCTTATAAGCACAGTAACATTTTTAGACAGGATTTCTGTGTAGCTCCAAAGACCATGCTGTCCTCAAAGTCAGATCCACCTGCCTCTGCCTCCCAAGCACTGGGATTAAAGGTGCACACCACCACCAGCCACAGTAATGTTTTTACTGCCTAGTTTTGATGATATCACTTAAATTCACTGACTGAGCTCTATACATTTGGATTATTGGAGTATTTTTCTGATCATCACATTTATGTCTTTGGCCTTCTAGTTATACCTACTCATGGCCATTAATTTAGCCACACCTGTCACAGACTTTTTTAAAAAAGATTTATTTATTATGTATACAGTATTCTCAGGATTCTGTCTGCATGTATGCCTGCAGGCCAGACGAGGGCACCAGATCTCATTACAGATGGCTGTGAGCCACCATGCAGTTGCTGGGAATTGAACTCAGGACCTTTGGAAGAGCAGCCAGTGCTCTTAAGCACTGAGGTATCTCTCCAGCCCTGTCACACAGACCTCTATCAACCAACCAACACCAAGCTGGTCCCGCAACACTCATCTGAAGATGGGCTGAAGTGCCCATCTCCACTCCAGCACAGCTACCAAGTCTCCAGATTTCTTCACCCTCTACCTTCACCTCCACTGTTGAAAACGTATTTACAGTGTCTTCTGGATCTCTGTCCCAACTCTCACTTACTTGGACTTCTAGGACTTGGTATGCAGAGGTATTCTACAGTTATAACCCCTGGGTCATTTTCCTTCCCAAATAAGATTCCGTTTGCCAATATCAGCACTACTGCAGTGACAAATTAGAATCTCCTGGGTGTAGGGAGCTATGTCCTGATTGTCTTGACACGAGAAGACCCATCCCAAACAATGGCCAGCGCCTTCTGTTAGCAGACCAGATAGAAAGGGCGGATTACTTCCTTGGCTTTCCCTCATTGCTAGTTGATGTGTCCTGTTACTTGATTCCTTTTCAAATTCCAAAACCAATGCTTTCAAGCTCCCAGTTTGGACTGAAGATACACAGCTCTCTAGGAACCTTCCTGGTTCTTAGCAGGAGCTAAGGTTGCTAAGGCACTTAGCTTCAAGGACCAAGCAACTACCAGATTATAGGTTTTAGGTGACTGAGTTGCTGTTACTATTTTAATATAAAATGACCCAAAACACTCTTTAATGCATTAATCTGGTTGTCTAGAAAACTGACTACACATTCACATTAGGTAATTGTTTCCATACTGATACACTCACCTATACATATCTTGCCAGTAATTTTCTCTACTGCACTTTTGACCACAGGATGGCTGGTATAAATAAGCAAACACTAACATATCCCACAGTGTATTTAATAGGGATGACCCATCAATTCTCATTACTTTCTATTATAAAGAAATGGTCCTAGCTGGGCAGTGGTGACGCATGCCTTTAATCCCAGCACTCAGGAGGCAGAGGCAGGTGGGTCTCTGAGTTCGAAGCCACCTTAGCCTACCAGAGCTAGTCCCAGGACAGCTAGGGCTGTTACAGAGAAACCCCGCCTTGAAACAAGAGAAATGGCACGAGATTTGGAAGACTTGGTGGACAAACTGCAGCCGTTATTCTGCATTCAGACATTCTCCAGTGCAAGGACACACAGGGGACAACACTTGGACTTCAACAGCAAGCACTTTAGAACTTGGTTGACCTTGCAACAAAAGATGTCTTACAGAACATTCTGGACAGATGAACTTATCTACATTAAAAACAGATAACTATCACATTAAGCACCCCAGACAGGCTGATCTTAAGGAAGTGCCCCTGTTCCCCAGCGGTGGCTAACACTAGGACCATCTATTTGCAGATGGGAGGAAATCACTATATTAAGACAAAACTAAACAGACATTATTATTTAAGACCTTTATTAACAGGTGCTTGCAGTTTGTTGACTTTTTTTGAAAAAATCAAGTTGTAAACTTTTTATTACAAATTAAAAATGAAGTTCTTAAAAATCTTAACTTGACCAGATATGAAACAATTTAAAAACCATTAAAGGTGTATTGAGAAAAACCAGACCTTTTTTTTAAAAAACACATTTGTCATTACCAAAAAGAGACATCTTTAGGTAAAAATAATAAAAACCCCATGCTGCATAGATAATGCAGATAGTTCTAGCGTATCTGGTCAACGGGCAAAAAGCAAGCACTTAAGGTCTTCAGCTCCAATCTTTGTTCATTTCTTATTGCTGGAATTTCATATTCTTTTCTTCTTGTTGGATGACCAAACTGCAAAGAGAAGACTCCATTTACTATCATCCTCCTAAGTCTTCACATTTTAACACCTCATTTTGCTTTAGCCTAAGATTCATTTACAACACAAGCGGGCATTACTACATCTGGAGGAGAAATCGGCAACCCCAGGAACCATAGACTTTTTCCCTGTTTTTTTTTTTTTTTTTGGTTTGTTTTGTTTTTAAAGACAGGATTTCTGTGTGTAGTTTTGGCTGTCCTGAACTCAATAGATCTGTGTGTCTCTGCTTCCCAAGTGCCGGAATTAAAGGCATGCACCACCACTGCCCGGCTGAGATTACTTTTACCAGCAAGTAATGCCAAATGCAAGCTAGAAAGACTTGCTCTTCGGGCTAGCTTCAAATTTAGAGATCTGCTTGACTCTGCCTGCAGTACTAGAAGAATTAAAGGTGGGCACTATTAATTTTGTAAGGTTACTTTCCAAAACCTTGAAACCCACATTTCTTCAGAGCACTGAAGACTCTGCTTAGCTTTCTGCCAAGGTCAGAGTTGACTGATTCAGAAATGCGGTCACAAGATCATAGTCAAAACATACATGAAGACTGATCTAAAGGGGAACATTTTGTCTAACTTGGATTATATAGTGAATAACACTTATCTTATTCTATTACTGTTTTTAGTTTCTTATGCACTAAAACAATGCAATGGAAGCCGAGGGCACCAAACCATATTTACCCGGATGATGGTAGAGATGGTAAGCCGGCATTTACTCAGCCCCGCCCTGCTCAGCCTCGGGAGCGGACGAATTCTCAGCTGGTGGATCGGCTGCTTTTGTCTCTTTGCCATCTTGTGGTTTAGGGTTCTCTGGGCGTCTGCGTCGGTAATTGAAGTTGCGGCGATACCGACGTTGAGGTGGCTGCTGACCTTGGGTCTCGTCTCCTTGATTTTCTTTGTCCTCTTCATTGCCATCCTCTCTAGGCTGTCTTTGGCGAGGAGGGCCCCTGAAATAAACAATATAATCTCAGGAAGAACAGCCTTTATTTCCTTTAACCCAACCACTTGGTACTTAGTCGCACCAGCCACTTTCTTTCAGTTTAGCAAACTCTAAGTTTCTTCTAAAATCAAGGTGGTGATTCTGTATAAGAAGCGTATTCTCTATTCCATTCATATAAACCAGTAAAGCTGAGCTTGCACCACACTGGTGCACTCTATATAAACACTATATATATATATATATATATATATATATATATATATACACACACACACACACTCTATATAAACACTGATTCAACTTATTTTCTTGCCAATAACTATTCTAATGCACACTCCCATCATTTTCATTTCTTATACTAAAAAATCCCTGACCCCACACTACCTTCCCAGTTCCTTTCCATCAAGTAGCTATACTCTCAATTTGCTCATGAACACAGAATTTTATATTTGTGCTACGTACTTGTACACAAGGGACAGCATGCTTCATTTACTACTTTCTTAAACTGACAAGCCACCCACTGAGAAGTGACATTTCTGGCATGGTTGGAAAATTCTACTCTTTGTACAAACTTTAAAAAAGAGAAATGTTATCACTGGGCGGTGGTGGTGCACACCTTTTATCCCAGCACTTGGGAGAAAAAGGCAGGCAGACCTTTGTGAGTTCGAGGCCAGCCTGATCCACAAGAGCTAAGGCTTCAAAGCTATGAAGAAACCCTGTCTCGAAAAAAGAGCAACATTATCATAAAATTAAAGATTGTTGCATGGTTAAGAACAACACTATTCACAGAGGACCCATGGGTGACTCCTAATTGTCCCTATTTTAAAAAAACTAAGAACATTAGCTATAACAAATCAAAAGTCTGTAAGGCTAGGTTATATCTGTTTTTTTGGGTGGGGGGGCACTGAGACAAAGTTTCCCTGTAGCTTTGGCTGTCCTAGAATTCAGAGATCCACCTGCCTCCACCTCCTGAGTGCTAGGATTAAATGCGTGTGCCACCACCACATCATAGAAGGCAAACAATCAAATAAAAACAAAAGGTATCTGTACAAGATACCGAAAGATATCTGTAAAAAAAAAAAAAATCCAGAAGAAAACCCAAAGATGTTGTTGACACCTGTAGACTTCTGCGTAGACTGCTCTGAGAGCATGTTTACGCTTAACACTGTGGCAATAGGTGCAGCACTAAATGAATTTTCACGTCATCTTAAAAACAGAGCCATTGGCATCAAAAATGGACATTCAGCACAGGGACAACACAAAATATTTAGTGTCCGGATGTACCAAATGGTTAACAGTTCGAGTTCTTATTCTTGCTAGGTTTGCTTCGCAAGTACCCACAATTACCTGTTCTTAGTATCAGTTCTAGAGCATAAAATGCTTTCTGATCACCAAAGAAAGGTGCCAGCCAGCACATGTGTGTCACACACATTCAAATAAAGTAAACATAAAAGTGAACTAGCAAAATGTTCCTAATTCATCTTCATTAAAAAGATAGAACCAGGTGATGGCGGTGTACACCTTTAAGCCTAGCACTTGGGAGGCAGAAGCCTATGCATTGAGGCCAGCCTGGTTAAAGAGTTCCAGGACAGGCTCCTAAGCTAGAGAAACTCAGCCTCAAACAAAACAAAAGCCACAAACAGGACATGGCACATCCTTTAATCCTAGCACTAATAAGGTAGAGGCAGGCAGATCTGGATCTGAGTTTGAGGACAGCAGGGCTATACACAGAAATACGTCTCAAAACAAAAGGACAGGAGTGGCGGTGCGCTCCTGTTTAATCCCAGGTGTATCTTACTCTTACCTTCTCTAAGTAAGTCATGTTTTAGATACTGTAATTTGAAATACTCTTACCTGTTCACGGATAGAAAATGTGACATTCCACACACTTGCTTTTAAAACAAAAAACAAACAACCACAACAAAACCATAAAGTGATCAACTATACATAAGCTGTTTTAATGTGGTGCCAAAAAAGGAAAGACTATGTTCTCAAAGATTACTCACTTTAGAACCTTGGTGAAATAGAACGTGAAGTTTAACTCACGGTGTTGGGAAGCTCTAACATTTTGGATGAAGGATGTAATAGAAACAGATTATGACGGACCATACCTGCGAAATCGTGGTCTGTAACCCCGATACATATTCTGTCTCACTGGTCTACCTTGCTCTCCTGCACCCTGGTTGTCAGCACCCTAAAAAAAAACCAGAAATTAAAGTGTATTGGATCAATAATAAGAACAAAATCCCGATTTGGCAACTTCCAACTTTTATTTTGAGACAGGGCCTCTTTACATTAGCCCCTGGCTGTACCAGAACTGGATATGTAGACCAGGCTGGCCTCCAGAGAGCCGGGATTAAAGACACATACCACCACTTCCTGGCCAAATTCCAGTGTAAAGTATCTAATAAATAATTATGATCACACCATAAATTAACAACCTTGGCGGTTCTTCATAAGCAAGTGAAATCTGTGAGTAGCAGATTAACCTAGGGGATTTTCCAGGAGTTAGTTAAAACCACAGTCTTTCTCTAAAGGTGTTATACGGGTTAAGTAGGGCTGGTTTTCATTTAGCAATGGGTTCCGTTCCCAGGACAGCAAAACACAAAAATGCCGGTACACACATACTGACACCTACCTCCATTACTTCTCCTTGCACAGGAGGGTTGGAATACTGTGGTCGACGCCCATAGGGTCTCCGCATATAGTAAGGTGGGAACCTTCGCCTGCGATAAGGCCGGCGTTGTTGGGCTTGGCCTTCAGGAGCGCTTTCCGATCCCTCGTTCTTTTCCCCACTCTCACTATTCTGGTAATTCTGCTGGTAATTACGTGGAGGACCCCTACGACGTGGGTAGCGTCTATAATGGTTACGGTCTGCTGCGTATTTACTGCCTTGAACTGGAACTCCACCAGGGCCTGTAACATTTGCTGCCTCCGCACCCTACAAAAGCCATTATTTATTGAAAACAACAAAGGAAATCCAAATATTTAATAAATTTCACACAAGCTGGGGAGGGAAAAAATAAAAAACCTAAGAGAAAACAAAATGGAGGGAGGCTGTCTGCACGGGCAAAGGGTGCATAGGAATGACTACATCGGTTCCTCACTCCTCTGAAGGGACTGCTCTCTAACTGCAGCCAGCACAGTAGGCTTGATGCACCTGTGTTCATGTGGTCACCAGAACACATCATCCATCCAATTAGAGCCACCATCCTAATGGATGACATCCACATTATTTCCATACCGAAGTCAAACCTTTACACAAAAAGCATCCTCACCTTTTCTCCTTCAACAACATCAAACTCCACAGTCTCTCCATCTCCTACACTGCGAAGGTACTTCCTGGGGTTATTCTTCTTTATGGCAGTCTAGTAATATCATTCCAAAAATAGATTAACAGGGGAGAAGAACGTGCTTTTTCATTTAAAATGTACCACTGTCAATATCATTTTTAGCTTGGATATAAACTTAGTATTTGCTTTATGTAAGACCAAACTGTCAATAATTTAGGATAGCAGGGACCAATGTTACCCACAACCTCTACCAAAAGACTCCAATCTTACAAGGCCCCAACAATTTATCACTGTTTACAAAACTAAAGTAATTTAATACCTAAGGCAAACAACAAAATGTTTTAAGATGCTTTTTACAAAAGCATGACATATAAAGCTTGGCACAAGTAAGGCCTCCATCTATCCCCCAAAGTCTGCACTTAATAGTAGAAGGTAGCCCCACACACGGCCAGTTTAGATGACAGGCGAGTTTAGTTTTACACGCTTCAACTTTGACCATACCAACTCTTGTTCCTTTACCATATCAAACTCAATTACAAATGTCATTCAAAATCCCTTCCATTCTGTCTATGAATACTTCCAGGGAAATGCGTTTCATGTTTATCTATGCCACTTATATTTCTCTCTGTAGAGACTGTTGGTTATTACCTCCCCAGAAAAGTCTTAACATTATATAGGGCTTAAAAAATTATATAGGGCTTAAAAAAGTGCCCATGGTCACAAAGATATAAGTGGCTGGGGAACTTTTCTAAATCCAGGTCTTGGGACTCCAAATCCCACGTTCATTCCACATCACAGCAGTATCCATTACAGGATCACTCATGCATTTCCATTCCAGAGGAGGCCAGACAACCAACAAATCTGAGGCCAATTAAGCTCCGGTGCCCAGAACTGCAGTCTACTTGATACACCACAACGACCTGAGCAGCCAAAGTCCCAAGAACAACTCTATGTTGAAAGCACTTGCAAAATAAATAGGAAAGCATATTGGTGACACCTTGTGGGATAATAAGACTGGGTGAGTTGAGTCAAATAATTGATCTCATCTGTCATCTGAACTGTCGTACAGTTTTATATTTTATATGTAGCCAACTCTCAATTATTTGCAGTCATAAGGAATAGTAGAAGTATGCATTAAAATCCCCAAACAAGTTAAGTCAACATCTTTAGCCCTTTCCAATCTTTCAAGGTCAACAGCAGCAAGACTAATAATAGACCTTGTTGCTTCTTGTCTATTAAGTCTGCATATTATTTCCAACTTGCAACAATAGGTAAGATTGTCACCTTACCCAAACAAGAACATTAATCCTTTAAAGGTAACATTTTGTCTAGGCAGTTAAGTTTACATTTAGAATTTGAATGTTTGCATACTTACATTCGATAGGGTTTTGAATATACTAGAAAGCTACAGGGCCTCCCCTTCTGACTCTCAATGTATGTTGTGCAAAATACTTCAATGAGCTACCAAAATGCTACCCTGTTAACCTCTCCTAAGGAGGACACTGCCACATGAGTACATAAACTTTTGACCTCCAGTCAGTTTAAAAAAGGGGGGTGGGAGGGGTTGAAAATTCTTAAAATAACTTTTAACACAAGTGGATATTTCAACAGTCCTAGTGAAAATCTGATTGCCTGGAAGCACACAGGAAGTGACACATTTCCTAACCCTCTCCATTGTGTGGATACATGTCTAATGCTGGCAGTGTACCACTCACTTGGCAACATCTTATTTTACCAATAATTCTTTTTTTTCCAAGACAGGGTTTTTCTGTGTAGCCTTGAACTGAGAGATCTACATGTTCTGCTTCTCTAGTGCTGGGATTAAAGGTGCGCACCACCTACCAGCATTTACCAATAATTCTTAAATCCTCAATGTCAAGTCATTTTCCTAGTCTCTATGTATAGTTTATATTTGGCTAATTTACTGACCAACAACTTTGCTGCAATACTAGTGAGGATTTAAGCTTCCAGCCAACTCCATTAAAAAATGCTTTAGAACAAAATAATAATAAAAAAAATAATAAAGCCACCCTAGACAGTGCTGGCTTCCCATTTTCTTCAGGTAACTGTTTTGTAGCTCTGTTCCATAAAATGTCCTTACCAAAGGCAGACCTGACAATAACAGCATCTGGAAATGTCTTGCCAATGTTTCCACATATTTATAGCAGCATTATTCAAGTTAGACTCACGGTGGTTATTTGTCTGAAACTAGGCACGAAAACTGCATGCCATCCGTTAACAGATTCAATTTTTAAAAAGTCGTTTTAAATTTTTAATGAAATTCCTAATTGTAACACTTTTTAAAATGAAGTGGACTCTCCAGTGCAAAGCTTCATTCGACACTTTAGTCGTGGTATTACTCTCTTCAGATTCATGAACTAAATATACTCATCCTTGGATTTAACCTTTAGCAAAGAACCGTATCTGAAAACACACACACCCATTTCTTCTCACAAGCCTTGAGTCAGAAGTGCAGAGAATCAAGATAAGCACTCACCTGGTGTACAAATACGTCTTCCTTGGTGTCATTCCTGCAAGACAGGACCAAGATTAACAAATGAAATATCAATGTACGTTTCACTACCTAAAACTTATTAAGAACAGCCTGGCCTACAAAGCAAGTCCCAGTACAACCAGGTTACAGAGAAACCCAGTCTTGAAAATCCAGAAAGAACATCCTGGACAGTGGACATCCTTGATTTTCCCAGAGACTTCCCAGCTGTCTCAGATTAGGTGGAAACTTACTTCTATCTTTTAACTTTGAGTGTGGGCAGGGGCAACATTAGGAACCTCAGAGAAACCAATTATTCACACGTTCAATGACTGATCAGCTCTATTAGAGTAGGCCGGGAAAGAAAAATTTAACAGTGAAACACATACTGCCTGAACTATTTTAAAGACTAAAAACTGTTGAAAACAGAGATAAGCCCACTCAGAACCTGTAAGAAAAGCAAACAAATCTAAGGCAGTGTAACCAAGAGCCATAATTCAATAGGACAGAGTGACAAGCAATGCCCCTTCCACTCCTTACCCTATTAAACATTAACAATAACCTAGCACACACCCTTACCTACTGATCAGTAGTTACTAACAGGAGTTGTCATTCTCACTTCCTCCTCACCACTTCTAAACTCTCAATTCCCCAAGGTAATAAAAACAACCACAGAAAGTTTTCTAGAAAACAGAGAATGAAACTTCATGCCAACTACACACACAGCACTTTTGTGCCTAACACTGTTTCCAATAACACCCCCACACCTTTCACCTCCCATCATGAACATCACAATCCTTAGTCAAGTGAGCAGATCCAGCAAAGCTTTATATTTTGACAGCCTTAAGTCTAGCCTGATCTTGAACCTATGACAGTTCTGCTTCAGCTTTCACAGTGCTGGCTGGGATTAGTTATAGGGGTTTACCAAGAAATGACGGTATTTCATTAGAAGAATGTGATGTGATAAAATTGCATAAAATGTAATGTAACATCTGAATAAGCAGAACACAGCAAGTTAGTTAGGTCAAAGATCAGACAGGAACTATGTCTTAGACTAAACGACCACCCAATGAAGACTATCTTTCTTGGGACCAAAGTGGAAGAAACAGACAAACTAGAAACTGGAAGTGAGGACTAAGTAGAAAATCATTTCTGTCTTAACTTTTAGTGTCAGCAGGCTGAAAACATTGGGGACCCGAAGAACCACTGGAGGAACAGATTTCTTTCCTTTAGTGACCCAATCCACCCTCTTTTCACTATTTCACTACCAGAGAAATGGCTTAGCATTAGCTCTAATAGTATTTAATGACCAAAGACGCCACTGGCATTCTGGTAAGAAGCAAAAAAAGATCTGCCTCAAGTGCTGGGAATAAAGGTGTGCACCACCTCATCCAATGTAGCCATTTGTTGCATCAGTATGCTTTATTTAAACTGATGGGGCCAATAAGATGTTTCAGCAAGTAAAAGTAGTTACTGACAATGTTGAGTTTGACCCCTGGAACCCACATACGGATATTTCCTGCAAGTTGTTCTCTGACCTCCAAATGTTCCCAACTCCAATAAATAAATGTAATAAAATAATGAGCCAGGCGTGATAGTGCAAACCTTTAATCCCAACACTTGGGAGACAGAGGTAGGATTTCTGAGTTCCAGAACAGCCAGGGTTACACAGAGACCCTATCTCAAAAATCAAGAGTATGCTTTCAATTCAGTGAAAAGAAAAATGTTCCAAGGGTATTTTTTTCCCTTATGATAAACAGTTATGTATGAACTTACTTCTGGGTTATAAAATATCATGTATCTAGGACAATTTTAAGAATCTGGTTAGACAGCTTTTAAAAATAAGATTATGTTAGCAATAAAACAGCACTATTCCCTAAGAAATATTTTATTATTTTGTAAATACATATAGAAATAGGAAACCCAAACCACAAATACAGCTACTGACTTGTGACTAGACTAGCCTACTGAAGAGTAGCAAAATGTATGTGGATGTCAGGAAGAAGCTTAACAGTTTGGAAATACACGTGGCACACATACACAGCAGTTTGGATTACTGAAAATTAACTTTTAAACACTACACACTAGATGTTTTGAATACACCATGTAAGCATCTTCCACAAAGCAGGTAACTGAAATACAACTACAGCTCTTTGCTCATAGCCTTGACTTCTGACATCATAGGGACTCTGGTCCTTACTGCATTGATTTTCAAACAATCCTTTTTATCCTAAAATAATTTCCAAAAAACTTTGTATGCATTTTTGTGTCTGAGTAAATGATAGCGCGTGCAGGTGTCTGGGAACCTGGAGTCACAGGTGTTGGAAGTGAACTGGGGTCCTATGGAAGAGCACCTAGTGTTTTTAAACACTGAACCACCTTTTCAGACCACAGTTTACCTTCAGAGGCAGACTAAAACACAATTGTATGTATGCTGACTCGTAGTAACAAGGATCCCTACCAAGTTCCTGATATGGTCAGGAGGACAAATGCAGATTCCCCCATTCATCACCACCCACGACACACACTACAGCAATCTAAGTTTCCATTAAGCTTCTACAACATTTACCTATGCCTATCATTTAAACCCTAGCTCTATAATTATGCCTATTCTACTCAATCTACCCAGACTAACAAGGTTGGGTTTTTTGGTTACTGCCTTAAGACCTACCATAAGTTCATTCAAAATAAAATGTTCTACATGCCATAATTTCCAAGCCTTGAAGCTTTCCCTAAAATCACAAATCCCACTTAACTCCTTAGTTGTTCTCTAGGCAGATGAGACCACAGATGCTTCCAAGGGTCTAGACAGGCCTGAAGGCCACCTAACTCCACAATTACAGTCTCAGGATAAGGAAAACAAAAGGCTAATAATACCCCTGCTGTTCTTTCTTTCTAATGATTTTACTTGGCAAAAAAAACAAAACAAAACAAAACAAAAAACCCCACCAAACCCACACAGGTGAAGATTCTGTTCTAAGTTATAAGCCGGTGATTGAATAGTGCCTTCGTTGCATCTTTGTCTTAAGATCAGTAATCAATACAACAGGTAGCTAGCTCTTCACATGTGCAAGCCAAGAGTCCATGCCCCCTCCTAAAACACCGCCATATAGTCCTCAGACCTTGTGTAACATCAATTTTATTTATAGTGGATCCACAGAAAGAGACTTGAGGTAGAAACAACTAGGGTGACTTTTTAAAAGCCCAGATTTTAACCACAATCTTTCCAATCTACAAAATTTTCATTTTTACCAAGAACACTGTATTAAAGTCCTACAGGCTTTGAGTATTACAATGTAGGCTTGGCTAACTTTTTTGGAATATGAAAAGACATTACACTGTCAATATTTATGCTCTTGGGTCAAGAGACACTGGCTACTCTGCTTGAAAGTGGACTCTACAAATGTTACCACTGTACAATCCGTTTGACCAAACTAAACAACCAGAACTTCATTTTTTCCCCCAGTGAAACTCAAGCAACCACTGAGGGAGGGAGGAGTGATTTTCCTAGCTGTTCTCAATAGGCTGGACCCCAATCCCTACCTTACCCAGGATAATTCCCTTTGTACTTGAAGCACTTTCAAAAGGATTCGTCTTCACAACTGTACACAGGTAGGCTTGCTTGTATTCTTTAATGTGCCACTTTTGGGTTTTCTTTGGTGGTTACATAGCTTCCTAGCAGTATGAAGACTAAGACAATTTAACTTGCCCATCCTGCTGGAGTGAAAACTCAGCTAAGTAGTAAAAAGCAGCCTTTACCCCCCCTACCCAAGGTGACGATAAGGCCAGGTATAGTGGTGTGGCATTAACCCCAGAGGCAGACAGGAGTTTCCCTGTTCACAGTAATTCTTCAAATGAGCTTCTCCCTGCCCAGGTGACTCTAGGCCATGTCAAGTCTACACTAAAAACTAACCAAAACAGTTAGGCTTTTAATCCCAGCACTCAGGAGACAGAGCCAGGCAGAGTTCTGGAGTTCAAGGACAGAGAGTTCTAAGGCTGTTGCAGAGAAACCCTATCTCAAAACCCAACCAACCAGGTCTAGTTGGGATACACCTATGATCTCAGCATCCCCAAAGACAAGTTTTCTTACTACCTCAAAAATCAACAAAAACAAAAAGAACTAGGTAGGAAGTTCAATATTCTTTCCTTTAATTCCTCAACTGCATCTCAACATCAGTATAGGACAGTTAGCAAGCTCTTTCATTTGTAAAGCTGACCTGCACACTAACTACAACCTGTGGACACTTCAGATGTTATTGAACTCTACACTCAAAATGGTCAGGATTTTCAAAGATGATATAACACAGCAGCTATTGAACAAATACTCCAGAGTACAAAACTTAAGTTCAAATCTTGCTTCTATTACTTCCTATGTTTGAGACAAGTCACTCAAACCTGTGTTCCTGAGGAGTAAGTCTCAAAGGGTTTTACGATTAAGTCAATTAGATCATCTTGATCAGAAATAACAGATCTTGAACTATTCACATCACTGTTATTGCAGTCATTAGTTATATGCATGGAAAACCCCAAAGGGTGGACCAAAGGAGACTAACACTGACAGCATTAAGTTTTATATTAAGGACATAAAGCTAAACATTTTAGATCATGGATTAAATAAAAAGGCCTATGTACATACAGGGCAGAGAGAAATGGGAATAAGCAACATAAGAGAATTATATGCAAGACTGGGCCAGGGAGACAGTTCAGCTGGCGAAAAGTGCTTGCAGTGCACGCTTGACAACCCTGAACCCATATAAAAGTCAGACCGATCTGTCTTCTGTCCCACATAAAATGCTACAGACAGGCATGCCCTCAATACAAATATATGACCAGAAAGAAAAAAAAGGAAAATAAAAAGCAACGATGTCTTATGTAAAGGTTGAGGTCACAAGCAGAACGGTATTCTGGATTTTAAATTCCATCACCGAGCCGTAACCCCAAACCCCTAAATTCTATCACCATAAAAGAAAAACACTCCACTGAAAACTGTTCTTGACTCATGATTCTCTAGCATGGACCAGTCTCTATATCAGATAGTAACTTGGGGAAGGTTAACTTAGCAAACAAGCTAAGTTACATGAAAAACGGCATACAAAGGGATAAAGTGACCAATTTTCTCAATTCCTAGATTATGTCTTTAACAAACTAAAAATTCTGCCACTTTAAAACCTCTTTGATTCTGCCTCTGAGTGTTGGGATTAAAGGTGTGAACCACCACACCAGGATTTAACTTGTTTTGCCTACTGGGATCACATGCATGCATCACACTATGTTTTTTATGCAGTGCTAAAGAAGACATCAGGGCTTTATGAACACTAGACAAGCACTCCACACCAACTCAGTTTCATTTGCAGCACCTTTAAGAAGTTTACAATAAAACCAGCAGCATTTTAAAAAATTGCCTTGGAACAAAGAATTCTGACCAACTTGTAAAAAATCTCAGGAGACATCAACTCTTATATTTGAATTATAAAATAACTAAAGATCCTAGAATACATATTCCAGAATTCAGTGTATCCCAAATACCTCACCTCCTATTATACATTCTATACTTTTTCTTAACCAAGACAAACCTCGCTCTCTGGAACCAGACTTTCCAGTATATCTCAATTAAAAACCAAAAATCAATATACTGGCCTAATGAGGCAAATCACATTTTAATCAGTTAAATCAGTAACTGGGGTCAGGATACTCTAACAAAGAATCATCAAAAGTCAATTACATTTAACTTGCCTGTAAGAATGATCAACTAAGCTGCTACTAAGAACAGCCATCGATTGTAATCCACACAATACACAACAGCATACTCATTTTGGGTAGAAACTGCTTAAAAAATGTGAAAAGCCTAGGCAAATGTGAGAACATATTAAATGCATACAAAATCCCCACAATTTACCCAATTAAAAAGGCTGCCAAGGAGGGTTAGCCAGCTGCACTGGGCTAAGGGCTCAAATCGCCCTTTGGAAGGTGGGGTGCAGACTACTCTCAGCATCATCTCAGACTGTTAGCACAGAAACCTAGATCAAAGCACGAATCAGCAGCAGCTTAAAAGCCACCAGGCCACCAACTACGCACGAGCAAAGCATTCCATTTTCTTCTTTGCTTACTAGTCACCATTGAAAAACAAAACATGGAAAATGTAGCATGGGTCAGGAAAGCAAACAGCCTACGACAGTAGAAAATCCTAGAGTCTGGAAAAACAAAATGTTTCTCTGTAATTGCTACTGTAGAGAACAGACCATTAAGTGATTGTAATCGCTCCTGTTTGAGTGTTTCCACAACACGGGGTGGTTCATCAATGAACGGTTTTTCATCACTCCGTTATTTTTAAAAGCCTAGCTGGCCCATTTGGTAGTGTCCACTTCACAAGCACTCTCTGTCACTCTTCAGCGTTCTCTTCACTATCTACTTATTTAACGCCTTCTAAGCAAGCAAGTAATGCTGAAATGGCGCCAAGTCTCACAGCTGTAAGGCCAGGATTGCTGCTGGCACTCGCGGTGCTCTACACCCATGCAACTGCACTAGCCTTGGCAGCCATCTTGAAAAAGATGCCGGGCTCACAAGGGAGCCAAGAGTGCAGGCACTGCCTGTACTCCCACCATGGGCTACAAACCATTCTACGGATCTATTAAGGTGTAGTTTGCAACTACGACCAAGGTTAAATTCCCAAGGACTTAAACTCACGCCAATAAGATACAGCCAAGCTTTAGCAAAAATTCATTTGATCAGCATGATTCCCTGACAAGGAAGTAGAAGAAATAAAAATTGAGGAAGAGCCATTTTCTTCGGATGTATTATCTGCCGTTCGGACAAATAAGACCCTCTTTGGCTGAACGAGTTCTATAGAAAATGTGCTCGAGGTACTCAAACGACTGCATATTTGAGTCGACTAAACAAAGGCAACATAACCTTCCAGTACAGATAACATCTCGGGCACTTGACATGTCAAATCACGTTCCCCAAGAGGTTAACAAGGTGAAAAAATCACCTGTATGGTAATTAGGGGGTCACATTCTTACACAGCAATTGCCAGGAAGCAGAAAAGGATGTCAAGGTTAAAACGTGCTTAGCCTGGAGTTGCCTCACTTTGAGGCAAGGTAACTGTTACGGGGATGGCTCATATGCCTTGACCTGCTTTGTGCCACCGCTCGGAGGCTCGCTCCAGATTGGTATTTAACGGCAAAACAAAGCAAGCCTACCGACCCACTAATCCCGGCACCCGAGGACCAAACACCATGCTTCCACCCCTCTCCCTGTCAGGCCCGCGGCGGCAGCGGCTCGAGAGATTAGCCACGCAGGAGGCGGGCCCAAGCTTTCCACCCCGGCATCTCACCTGTTGATGAAACCGTATCCGTTCCTTACATTGAACCATTTTACTGTTCCCAAAACCTTCGTTGCGATGACCTTCTTGTCCCCACCGGTGGGCGCCGCCGATGTGAGGCCGCCCGGGCTGCCCCGTGGAGCCGGGCTTGGTGTCAGCGGCGCTGAGGGCAACGGCGGGGCCTCGCTGCTCATGGTTGCGGTGGTGGTGACTGGGGCCGGCGGCGGCGGGGCTCTCAGGGCTCTCTGGGGTCCGCTCTCCGCTCCCGCTACCGATCGAACTAGCGAGAATGGCGGGACGGGCGGGATAAGCCCTGCGATAGGCCCGCCCTCGTCCTCTCCCATTGGTCAGAGCCGCCGTCGGTCCCACCACCTGACCGGGTCCCTAGCGCCTATTGGCTAACGCTCCGCGGCTCCTGCGCTCTCATTGGATCCTTTGGCGACTAATTTGGCAGACCCACAGCCGCTCCTGCCTTCGCCGCCATAGAGACCGGAACTAGAATGAGCTCTTCAGCCGTGAGCACCATAGAGTACCGGGAGGACGCGTAGAGGGAATGTGCCCGCCCGGGGCTGCGCTCGTCGCGCACGTGGGCCGCGGTGGCCGGGCCTAGCCGGGCTTCTAGAAGGGGGTTTCCTCCCTCGACAGGGTGAGCGCCGCGGCCTTCTTAGTGGTTCAGGCTTTTGGCGGTCCAGTCACCTTGGACGGACCACGCAGGCGCTCCGGCTGCCACGAAATCTGCGTGTTCAGGGCGGAGGTGCTCCTTTGCCCGGCCGTACAAGAAATGTGTTTCATATTGGCCACAAATTAGATTTAATTTAGTTTTGTATTCATTGGTTAAGTTAGACAACCCTCTCCCCAAGCAACAATGTAGACATGGATTGCTCTTCATGTTTTTACACCCTGTAAAACGCAGGCTGCTTTCTGTTACCGAAGCCCTCCCCCTACCTTCATTCATTCTTTATTAGGCATCTACGATTGACTGGGGATTGAAATAGTTTGCCAGTCAGTTTCTGCCTTCTGACGGAAGCAGAAATTTAAACGCCCTACACTGCTTAGTTGGATGAGCGCAGCGTTCCGGGAGGGAAACAGGAAGGGTTGGGTGGTGACATTTCATTTCAGGCAAAGGTAGGTTTGGGCAAAGGCCTAGGAAAGATAGGGCCTCAAGGAAAATGCAAATAAAGGAATTCTGTGGGAGTGGAAGGAAATCTGGGTTGTAGAAATTCATCCTGAGGTCACAGTGAGGAAGGTAGCTTTAGAGTTGTTGTAAATAGGGAGACCCGTCTTAAGGCTGCGGAAAGAAAGGATGGAAATAGGGAACGCAGTTAGGGAGATCCAATGTGGCTCTGTGTAAAAGCACTTGAGACCAACCTGAAGATTTTTCCTGCAAGTTTGAGTTTGACCTCCCTATGGGCACTGTGGCATGTACCTCCCACCTCCCAGGTACCATGTACCTCGCAATAGAAAAGACTGGGCGGTGGCGGCGCACACCTTTAATCCCAGCACTCAGGGCGGATCTCTGTGAGCTCGAGGCCAGCCTGGTCTACAAGAGCTAGTTCCAGGACAGGCTTTAACGCTACAGAAAAACCTTGTGGGGAAGTGGGGGAAGAATTACAAAATGCAGTAACCCTTACTGCCTGCTCCATCTAGGCCTGCCACTCTACTTGGTAAAGGCCTCCTCAGTCAGTTCTGGAAAATCTGATCCTGAAGCCAGTTAGGCTACTCTGCCATTGCTTTTGGTAATTGCTTTTGCTTAAAGCAGGGACAGCAAAATAAATAAAGAGATAAATAAATAAATAAAATTTTTTTAGAAAAATTGATGCCTTATTCTTGTTTTATGTGCACTGGGTTGGTGTGTTTTGTCTGCATGTATGCCTGTATGAGGGTGTCAGATCCCCTGGAACTAAAGTTAAAGACAGCACTCATACGAGTGCTGTGAATTGAATCCAGGTGTTCTGGAAGAGCAACCAGTGCTCTTAGCAGCTGAGCTATCTCTCCAGCCCAGTAAAACATAATATGTAAAGTTTTGGGGGCTGTTGGGTTATAAATGATCGACTTTTAGCTCTGAAAGCAGAGGGTACGTGTGTTTTGAAATTTTTTACTGAAAATATTCTATTTTTATTTTAGGGGGCACAATGGAGGTAAGAGGACAACTTGTGTAGTCCATTCTCCCCTTTCACTGTGTAGGCCCCGGGTGTGGAACTCGGGTCACCTCCCTTGCTGTCAGCATCAAGCGGTCTTTCTGGCCCTGAGACAGTTCACTCACAGAGCTGACCCAGAAATGGGATGTAGCCTATACTCGTCACAAGGCCATCTTAAAATTGTTTTACTATTTAAAACATACAGGGTTTTTCTTTTATTGTTTTGTTTTTTGAAATGGTCTTATTGTGTAACCCAGGTTAGCCTCAGACTCTTGAGAGCCGCCTGCTGGATTAAAGGCAGGCACCACCACACCCAGTCCTCCCTCCTTTCTTTTTTATTTTATTAGTATTAGTATTTTTGGTTTTTTGAGGCCAGGTTTCTCTGTGTAACAATCCTAGAACTAGCTCTTCTAGGCCAGGCCGGCTTCGAACTCAGCCTCAAACTCATGGAGATCCGCCTGCCTCTGCCTCCCGAGTGCTAGGATTGAAGGAGTGCGCTACCACCACCTTGCAAACACTTGAACTCTTTAGTGACTCCATTATATCCCAATTATTTAATGTGGTATGACTTCTCTAAAGTAACTCCCCACCCACTCATGCCTTGTTCAGCCTATCAGGTTTTAGCTGTTAGTACATATTAAAAGTCCTATCCACTGTTCTGTAAATCATTCGTACAACATTCTTCCCTCTGCGACCACTCCCCCACAGACAGGGTTTCTCTGTGTAGCCCTGGCTGTCCTGTAATTCACTCTGTAGACCAGGCTGGCCTTGAACTCACAGAGATCCACCCGCCCTTAGATGGAGTCTCACTTGGAAGCTCAGGCTGCCTGGAACCCATGACCTGAGTGGTAGCTGTCCAAGTGCCCTGGTGCCTGATCTTTGCTTGAGCATCTATCTAGTGCCTACAGTGTTTGTTCTTTTGTTTTCTTTTGATTTGAGACAGGGTCTCGCCACACCTGGAACTCACAGAGATCTTCCTGCCTCTGTCCCTCAAATGCGGGGATTAAAGATGTGTGCTACCATGTCAAGCTGTGTAATGTTTTAATATATGCTCCTTTTGTCTCTATGGTGCCAAGGGTTGAAATTAATCATATGGTTAATGACACAGTGAAGCAAATGAAATGCTGGCAGCAACTGGGTTATCTGGGCAGTAATTCAGGCTTGGGGCAGCATGGTCGATAGAGAGCTGCTGTTTAGCCACCCTTCCTCAGCATGCCCTGCAGACTTGAGATTTTTCCAAAGTTATAAAGCTACTTTAAAAAAAAAAAACCCTGACAGCAAGCCAGGCGGTGGTGGCGCACGCCTTTAATCCCAGCATTCAGGAGGCAGAGGCAGGCGGATCTCTATGAGGCCAGCCTGGTCTACAAGAGCTAGTTCCAGGACAGGCTCCAAAGCTACAGAGAAACCTTCTCAAAAAACCAAAAAACAAACAAACAAACAACCCCCCCCAAAAAAACCCCACAGCAATGGCAACAGAATGTGGTGGGTTTCTGTACTCCCAGAAGTTGAGAGGCTGAAGCAGGAGGATCTCTGATTTAGAGGCCTTCGTGAGCTACATAGAGAGTTCCAGAACCCTTAAGATTAAAGGAACAGAAGCTGGGGAGATGGCTCCGTGGTTAGATTGCAAGCCATGATCTGCGTGACTGGAATTTGGATTCCCAAAATAAATGCTGAGTGGATGTGGCAGCCTTCTCATAATTTCAGCCCGGGAAGGCAGAGACTGGATCCCCAGGACAAGATACAGGATCTGGCTGTATCAGTCAGCTCTGGGTTGAATTATGGTAATTCGTCTCCATGAAGAAGGTGGACTAGCAAAAGATTCTGGACAACTTCTTGAGTACCCTCACACACAAAATCTGCATATGCCTGACATATACATACAAAAAATGTGGAAAGAAATAAATGAGTGTTAACTGCTTTGGAAAGATGGTATATTGAGGTAAAATACCAATTCTGTCTTTATGGCTTAGGGATGTCCTTACTTCCTCATTTGGGTACTCTGTGCTTTAGTGAAACATGAAGATGGTATGTTAAGATGCACTGATGCAGACATCTTTAATCCCAGCACTTGGGAGGCAAGGCAGGCCTGGTCTACAGAGTGAGTTCCAGGACAGCCAGAGCTATACAGAGAAACTATCTCTAAATAAATAAATAAATAAAACAAAGATGAACCCTAAGACTGACAGGTTCTGTTGAAACTCACTTCCTATCCCACAGTGGGGGATCTCTACTTTCTGCTAGTTACCCACTACCACCACTACTTTTGGAGTTTATACCAGCTAGTCTGTCCAAGAACCATCTTACACTCAATTCTAGTTCCTATAGTTTAGCAATACAAGGGGACACCGCCCAGGCATCTCCTTTGCAAAAATTAGCTCTCACCTTGTCCCCCGTCCCTCACAGGCTCTGGTTTAGGAACACATTTTGACTCATCCTGACCCTCCTCCCTATTCTCAATCAACACAACATTTACATCACACATCAATTCTTCCAAGCCTTCAAAAGTTTTTTCCCCCTTTGATTTTGTTTGTTTGTTTGTTTATTAGAGACTGGATTTCTTTGTAGTTTTGGCGCCTGTCCCGGAACTAGCTCTTGTAGACCAGGCTGGCCTTGAACTCACAGAGATTCACCTGCCTCTGCCTCCAGCTGGGATTAAAGTCAGCAAAAGTTTGTTTTTTTTGAGATCTCAGTAAGTACTCCTGGCTGATCTGGAACTATGTATATCAGGTTGTCCTCCATAGAGATCCACTTGCTTCTGTTTTCCAAGAGTCTGGTGCCTTTAAATTTTTGTTATCTTTGTGTATATGGTAAGCATGCGTTTATGTGTGTGTGGGTCTTGGGACACAGATGTCAATCCTTGATTTCTTGACGCTTTGGGGCAGCTTCTTAAGAGAAGTTCTGCTGTTGTGCCAAATATTTCAGGGTTGCTGACTGGCAAGCTTTGCTGGAATTCTCCGGTTTCAGCTTCCTATCTTGCTCTTCAACTACTGGAACTACAAACACATCTGGCTCTTTCATGGGTTCTGGAGATCTGAACTCACACCATCATACTTGTCCAGAAAGGCTTTTATTGGATGAGACAACTCTCCAGGCCCTAAAATCCCTCTCCCTGTTAAGGTGGGGGTTGTTGTTTAATGTTTTTTTTTTAAATCTAATCTTTTCCTTTCGCCTCAACTCTCTGCACTGCTTGAATATCTGGTTTATGTAACAAATACTGATTG